TTTTTGAGACGGAGTCTTGCTGTGTCGCCAGGCTGGAGCACAGTGGCGCAGTCTCGGCTCACTGCAACCTCCGCCTCCCGGGTTCAAGCGATTCTTCCGCCTCAGCCTCCCGAGTGCTGGGTCTACAGGCGTGTGCCAAACGCCCGGCTAATTTTTGTATTTTTAGTAGAGACGTGGTTTCACCATGTTAGCCAGGATGGTCTCGACCTCTTGACCTCATGATCCACCTGCCTCGGCCTCCCAAAGTGCTGGGAATCCATCTTTAAAAAAAAAAAAAATTCTTAATTTCTAAAAACCATACAATAACAACTATTGATACATGATGAAGGTAAGTGAGACACAGAGAGTTAAAAATGAGTTACTCTAGATCAAACACCCGGGAAATGGCAGAGTCAGAATTGGACTCAGGTGTTCTTTTTTTTTTTCCCCCTGGAGACAGGTTCTTCCTCTGTCACAAGGCTGGAGTGCAGTGGCATGATCACGGCTCACTGCAACCTTTGCCGCTAAGGTTCAAGCAATCCTCCCACCTCAGCCTCCAGGTGGCTGGGACTACAGGCATGCACACCATGCCTGGTTAATTTTTGAACCTTTTGTAGAGGTGGAGTTTCACCATGTGGCCCAGGCTAGTCCCGAACTCGTGAGCTCAAGCAATCCGCCTGCTTCAGCCTCCCAAAGTGCTGGGATTACGGTGAACGCAGGTGTTCTGATCCTAAATCCAGATTTTCCCATTCTACCTTCTGCTTTGAAAGGTAGAGAGGAGGCCAGGAGGGCTTAGCCTTAAGGTGGAGGACGATGAGCTGGTATGAGGAAGCTGCTTGGTGTTTGTCATTTTAAACCGTTTACCCACTGGCTCAGGTCATGCCTTTGTTGGGGGCAAAGCCAAGGCCCAGCAAAGCAAACGGCCCTTCCAGTGTGGGTGGAAGAGGGGTGAGGTCACCCAGTCCTCGGCCTGTAGTTCGCTTTGCTTCAGTGCCGGGAGCAATCTCTTGCCCTGGTTTGCGGTGTCGGCTGAGGATCCAGGTCAGTGAGAAGCTCGGTGCTAGAACTCTCTGTGTGGGTGCTGCTGATTGATAGGGATCAGCTGCCCATCGTGGCTGGGGCTGAGGCAGCAGGATGGAGGAGTTTGTAAGAATGACTTCCACCTACCCTGCTGGGCTTGCCCTAGAGGCTCTGAGTGTGTGAAGGGGAAGACAATTATCGCTAGGCTGGAGAACAGAAAGAGCACCGTCAGGTGAGAAAGATTTTTTAAAAAGCGAGGGGAGAGAGTGGATAGGAGGAAGCCTGGGACATAAGAGAAAGGGCTTTGCTTGCTGAACTCCTAGGGAGCATGCAAGTAAGAATCCAGGGAAGAGGGAAGTAGGATGGGTGGCCTGAGTGCTTGGCCCCATTTCCTGGGGCTTATTGGCCTCCTGGGTGGGAGTTTTACAGGCTGCTGCTCTGTGGGGTGGCCTCAGTGATTGAGGATGCTCCCGCCCTGACCCTAGGATGGGGGACTGGAGGATCTTAACAGGACGGGGGGTTGGTTGGGTCTGACCAAGGCATCTGCCCAAGGGAGAGTACCAAGGAAAGCGGAGGCGGCCCCTCCCTGGCTTTCCTTCGCCCCCTCTACCCTCCTCGTTCTCTGGGCGCGGCTGGCGGGCAGTGGCATCCCTGCAGGGCCAGGCAGGTGGGCCAGAGCGTTCAGTTTGCTGAGGTTTGTCAGGTTTTCCAGCTCAGGGCCCAGTCAGCTGGCAGGAAGCAGGACAGAGGTCACTTGAATTCAGACCACACATCCCTGTTAAATACATCAGCTTTTAAATCAATCTTTGTTCAAAGTCCAGTGAGTTGCAAGCCGAATGCTCACCCACAGAGACAGAATTCCTGAGCGAACAAACGGCGCGGCTCCTCTTCCTTCCAGCTCCAGGTAAGAACTGCTCCTGTCCTCCTCGAGGATGCTGGCCACTGGGGTCTGAACTACCCTCTTTCCTTTTTCTTTTTCCAAGCCAGTAGCTGGCTGTCGAGGGCAGAGAAGAGTCCCATGGGGAGGGAGCCAGTCCCCTTTGGTGGTGGTTGGGGGTGACGGATTATCCACACTCTGAGATTCTTTCTGCTGGAGATTCTCCTCACCCTTGCAGGCTAGGGTCTGCTTCACAAAGAAACTGGCAAACTGATCTCAGAAAAAGCTTTGCCTGGGTTGGACAGGGGTTTGACGTGCAGCCAAAGGCAGTGAGACAGCAGACTTCACGGGGAAGCGGGTGGATATGCCTGGGATCTTCCCGCTGGTGCAGGGGCCTTGGGTAGCAGGGAAGACTTCTGGAAGCAGCTCTTAAATGATGCAGTCTAACTTAGCTTGCTCACTAGGTAACAAAAGCAGGTATCTTTCCTCTCTGTATCACACTGGAGCGCTAAGACATGAGAAAAACCAGTGGATTTCCAGGCTGGCTGAATTTTAAAAAACAGATTCCCCAGGTTCTCGCGTTTGGGATTTCTAAGTCTCCAGGTCTTGTGTGAATTGAGAGATCTTTACCTGAAAACTCTCCCAGATAATTCTGATCAGTGCAGGTAGGTTTGGAAACCACTAGCTGTTTATGTCTTAAGCAGAAGAGTCATGAGACTTACATATGACACTTACCTAAGGCTTCACTAGCTATCAAGACTGCCGATCTGGGTTGGATCCGGCTATGAAGATTTGGGGGTTGGCTCTGAGGAACACATTCTTCTTTATTTACTAAAATCTCTGCAATGGGTTGCCATAGCAGCTTTCCGTCTTGTATCCAGAAGCCAAGAGCGGGGAGCGGGGACGGCCTCAGGGAAGGATTGTCCAGTCACCTGAGGTCTGCTGCAAATCACTCATGGTCTTTGAATTTCTGTTCCAATAGTAAGTTGTGCTTATCTTTGACTTTTGTACGTTCTCTGCACCACAGGGTGTGAAGTTGCTGGTAGCGATGTCTTAGACTCATAGACCACTTGCTAGGCAGCTACTCCTCATCCAGCGGAAAGAACACAGGACTGGAATACAAATCATCAGAGTTTTGATTCCGTTGCTAGTGACAGGCCATTAGACAAAATACTCAGCCATCTGGAGCCTCGATTTCATTATCTATCAAGTGAAGGCCTGTCATGTTTTCTCCAAGAGTGTACTGAAAATAAAATTAGAAGTACAAATGTGTGTCAGGCACGGTGGCCCATGCCTGTAATCCCAGCACTTTGGGAGGCCGAGGTGGGTGGATCACCTGAGGTCAGGAGTTCAAGACCAGCCTGACCAACATGGAGAAACCCCATCTCAACTAAAAACTCCAAAAATTAGCCAGGTGTGGTGGCGCATGCCTGTAATCCCAGCTACTCGGGAGGCTGAGGCAGGAGAATCGCTTGAACCCTGGAGGCGGAGGTTGTGGTGAGTTGAGATCGCACCACTGCACTCCAGCCTGAGCAACAAGAGCGAGACTCCATCTCAAAAAAAAAAAAAAGAAAAAAACCACAGCGTAAGATGCCTAGATTTCAAACGTGTATATCCAAAGTCTCTGTAGAATAGTGGGAAGAGACAAATTGCAGTCAGTTGGGAGACCTTATCCTTGTCTTTTAATCTCCTTGAGCCTCTGTTTGCTCACTTATGATTGAGTTGGCGGCGAAGTGGAAGGTAGATCCTGGAGCCTTGAAGGCGAGCTCCTTGTTGTTCCGGTGTGAATTCAAATGGCACCTCCCCAGGAAGAACTTTCTAAATCAGCCTCGCACCTCCATGCCAGCGGTATCTCTATAATTCATAGCTTTACCATCAGAAGTCATCTCATTTTGGCTAGGTGCAGTGGCTCATGTCTGTAATCCCAGCATTTTGGGAGGCTGAGGTGGGTGGATCACCTGAGGTCAGGAGTTTGAGACCAGCCTGGCCAACATGGTAAAACCCCATGTCTACTAAAAATACAAACATTAGCTGGGTGTGGTGGCGCACGTCTGTAAAACAGCTACTTGGGAGGCCGAGGCAGAGTTGCTTGTACTTGGGAGGCTGAGGTTGTAGTGAGCCACGATTGTGCTATTGCAGTCCAGCCTGGGTGACAGAGCGAGACTCCGTTTTGAGGGGAAAAAAAGTCATTTCATTTTACTTTTTACTTGTCACCTTTGCCAGATGTTAAGCTTCCCGAGTGCAGGGATCTTGTCTTTTGTGTTACTTGCTGTATTACCAGCCCCTTGGGCATTACCTGGCATGGTGCAGATTTGCATAAATGCAATTAGTGTGTCAGGGAAGGAGCTGGAAGAACAGATGGCTTTGATAAGGTGTTCCTCAGGAAAGGAGGTTGAAGGACTCCCAATACTCCCTCAGGACATCCAAAGTCCAGGGTCTGGTCATGTGGGAATGGGTTTATCTGGCCACATGTTAGTTAAATGATTCTCACATTCACTGCACAGGAATGCGATGAGGGTAGAAAGCTGGAGCTAGACATGTTTTCCTTAAGCTCTCAGCAACTTCTTTCTTTTTTTTTTCTTTTTTTGAGACAGAGTTTCACTCTTGCTACCCAGGCTGGAGTGCAATGGCGTGATCTCGGCTCGCCGCAACCTCCGCCTCCTGGGTTCAGGCAATTCTCCTGCCTCAGCCTCCTGAGTAGCTGGGATTACAGGCACGCACCACCATGCCCAGCTAATTTTCTGTATTTTTAGTAGAGACGGGGTTTCACCATGTTGACCAGGATGGTCTCGATCTCTTGACCTCGTGATCCACCCGCCTCAGCCTCTCAAAGTGCTGGGATTACAGGCTTGAGCCACCGCGCCTGGCCTGCAACTTCTTTCTTTGGCTCTTCATGAGGGACTGCCCAGACTTCCTTAATCGCTTTTCCCGGTAGGTATCATGGCGAAGTGATAAAGAAAATGAACATGGGGATTGGAAACCTGCGTTCCAGATCAGACTCACTTTTACTCTCGAAGCTTCTGTTTCCTCATCAGTCAAATGGGTATATTAGAACCTAGTTTCGGAAGTTATGAGGGTTAAATGAATGCACATAGTGCCTAGTACGTCGTAAGTGCTACTGAGATAATCTTCAGACAGCTTTGCAGTTACGTGACCCCTGGAAAGGAAGGAACCCAGGGACTGGCAGGAGTTTTGATAAGTAGGAAAGATAGCCCTAGCCAACTTGGTGCCAACTAGAGAAGGTTTGCTCTTGGTCTGAGGCAGTCACTGGTTTCTGAGGTGTCAAGCCTGGTTAGAGGCACAGATACTCGGCGTTCACGAAGCGGCGTAGAACCGTAGGGTCCCCAGGGGAAACAAAACTAAATGATCCAGAAAAGCCCGTGGGTTTTCCACCAGTTGTATTGAGTACATACTTGATATGAGAGTACAGAAAGGGGTTATGGTACCTGCTCTTAAGAAAGCTTATCTTGGGCCTGGCGCAGTGGCTCACGCCTGTAATCCCAGCACTTTGGGAGGCCGAGGCGAGTGGATCAGGAGGTCAAGAGATCGAGACCATCCTGGCCAACATGGTGAAATCCTGTCTCTACTAAAAATACAAAAATTAGCTAGGCGTGGTGGTCTGTGCCTGTAGTCCCAGCTACTTGGGAGGCTGAGGCAGGAGAATTGCTTGAACCTGGAAGGTGGAGGTTGCAATGAGCAGAGATTATTCCACTGCACTCCAGCCTGGGTGACAGAGTGAGACTCCATCTCAAAACAAAACAAAAACAACAACAAAAAAAGAAAGCTTATCTTGCCTGGGGGTGACGGCTCATGCCTATAATGCAAGCATTTTGGGAGGCTGAGGCAGGTGGATCACTTGAGGTCAGGAGTTCAAGAACAGCCTGGCCAACATGGTGAAACTCCATCTCTACTAAAAATACAAAAATTAGCCAGACGTGGTAGTGGGTGCCTGTAATCCCAGCTACTTGGGAGGCTGAGGCAAGAGAATCGCTTGAACCTGAGAGGCAGATGTTGCAGTGAGCCAAGATTGCGCCACTGTACTCTAGCGGGGCCGACAAGAACAAGATTCAGTTCTCCAAAAAAAAAAGAAAAAAATAAAGGCAAGCTTATCTTGCTGGGGACACACGACATGGACACCGAAGCTCCTTTACAGTTTATTGGACTGAGGCTGGGGTGCTTCACAGCCTACTTCTTTCTTTTAACATCTAACTGTGCTCTGATTTTTCCGCTCCTTCACCGTTCTGGGAATGCAGCTCCTGCGTTCCTTCTGTCTGTGATGATTTCCTCTTCCCAGTCTGACTACTTTTATTTCCAGAATACAGCCTACACCTCAGGCTTGGAGGGCAGGGTAGATGGTGGAAGGAAGCTAGACTCAACTGGGTTTGAATCCAGGCTCTGCTTATCCAAATAGCCAGGGGAAATCACGTTAACTTTTCAGACACTCTTTTCTTTTTCCTTGTAAAATGGCCATCAGGATTGAATCAGAACCCATAAAAAGTACGAGGCTGGTTCCGATTCCTAGTAGGAGCTCAATAAATATACAGAACAATAAGAAAGCCTTCGTATTTAAATATTGTTAAATATTAAATATAGGCCGGGCGTGGTGGCTCACGCCTGTAAGCCAAGCACTTTGGAGGCCAAGGTGGGTGGATCATCTGAGGTTGGGAGTTCAAGACCAGCCTGACCAACATGGTGAGACCCTGTCTTAAAAAAATATATTAAATATTGTTCAGCAGTTATGCTTCGTGACTCTCCCCTCTGGACTCCGGGCTCTTCCAGGGCAGACGGTAGCTCTTCTGGGTTGAATCCTGATACCTGCCTTGCAGTAGGTATTACATATAACTTGTTAAGTATATGAGTGAGAACTGAAATTCAGATGATGAAGTGAAACCTTCAGACTGTGGTGGTCATGGAAAGATCCGTATATAATCTAGAATTTGAATTGAGCCTTGAAAATGGTAGGTCTTAAATTTGTTCACTTGGAAAAAATGTTTACTTAGCACTTACTATGAATAAGTCAGAAGTGGGGAAGAGATTGCAGGCAGAGCACGGGGCCTGAGCAAAGGGCAGGCTCACTGGTCTCCTCACCCATGCAGAGGCCAGTCGGGGCTTGCCGAGGAGCTGGGGGCCCGAGGTAGGTCTGGATTATGCTAAGTCTCAGTGCCTGAGCAAGAAGATTGAACTTCCTTTTTCTTGAACGACTTTTTCTTGAGACGGTAGTATAATAAAATCAAGGTCAGAAAGTTTGTCTTGAGGCGGGACTCGTGTAGTCTAGACATACCAACAAAAGTGAGGGGAGTAGAAATGCAAGTTCAAAAATCATGGAATGCAAAATGCCGATCTGGGGGCACCCTTGTCTGAGCTGACCCTCAGGTTGGCTGAGCTGTTTCCAGGTACCAGTTCTAACAACAGCATAAGGGTGACCTCTCTCTGTGGGTGCTTCTGTTTCCACACAATATGGGCTCCGCAATCCCTCTCCCAACTTGTGGAACTCAGATAAGCAATCAAACTGTGAAAGGCCTTGAACTCCAGCCCAGAGTCTTGCCATATAGGACAAAGTATTGTTTATGGTGGCTGGGGCTAGGGAAGAACCTTAGTATCAGCAGGTCAAGTGAACTTTGAGATAAGTAGATCCCATTCTTTATCACAAATGAGAGATAAAAATTCTCTCTCATTTATATGACAGTACATCTGTGATCACTCTTCTCTAGATAATTCTCAACGGAATGGGGTTCATTCATTTCTCACATTGGAAGTGTATCCCTGGCTAAGACCAGTTAACTATCACAACTGGAAAGTATACTAAGCAAATACATATTTTAGAGCCCTGCTTCTCCTTCTATTTTTGATATTAATTATTTAAAGTAAATATACTTGAGTATTTGAATTTCCACATGCCTTGCTTTTCTTTTTTTTTTTTTCTTTTTTTTTTTTTTT